TTTGGTGTCATATCTAAAAATCCACTGCCTGAAAGAAGGTCCTGGAGCTTCACTCCTACGTTTTCTTCTAAGAGTTTTATAGTTTTAGTTCTTATATTTAGGTCACTGATCCATTTTGAGTTAATTTTTGTATATGATGTGAGGTATGGGTCCAGCCTCATTCTCTTGCATGTGGGCATCCAGCTGTCCAGCACCATCTGCTGAAGACACCATCGAATGGATTTGGCCCTCTTATCGAAAATCAATTGGCCATAAATGTATGCGTTTATTTATGGATTCACAATTCTATTCCAGTGGTCTACATGTCAGTCCTTATACCAATACCACACTGTTTTGATTACTATAGCTTTGTAGTACATTTTGAAATCAGGAAGTGTGATTCTTTGTTCTACTTTGTTCTCCCCCACCCCCCCCCCACCCCAAGATTATCTTGGCTACTGAAGGCCCCTTGCAATTCCAATATGAATTTGAGGATTGGCTTTGCCATTTCTGCAAAAAGGCTGTTGGAATTTTAATAGGAATTGTGTTGTATCTGTGTATCACTTTGGGTAGAATTGATACCTTAATATTAAGTCTACCCATCCATGAACACGGAATGTTTTTCCAATTATTTAGATCTTCTTTGATTTCTTTCAGAAGTGTTTTATAATATTCTATGTAAAGGTCTTTCACGTCCTTGGTTAAATTCATTCCTAGGTATTTTATTCTTTTAGATGCTATTGTAAAAAGAATGGAGCCCTGGTGGTGCAGTGGTTAAGAGCTCGGCTGCAAACCAAAAGGTCAGCAGTTCAAATCCACCAGCTGCTCCCTGGAAACCCTTTGGGGCAGTTCTACTCTGTCCTGTAAGGTCACTATGAGTCGGAATCGACTTGACAGCAATACGTTTAGTTTTTTAGTTTTGGGTAAACAGAATGTTTTTCTTAATTTCCTCTTCAGATTGTTTGTTTCTGGTGTGTAGAAACACAACTGATTTCTGTGTGTTGATCCGGTACTCTGCAACTTTGCTTAATTCATTTATTAGCCCTAGAAGCTTTCTAGTGGATTTTTGGGATTTTCTGTATATAGTATCATGTCATCTATGAATAGAGATAGTTGTATTTCTTCCTGACTCAAATGACTTTTACTTCTTTTGCTTGCCTAATTGGTCCGGCTAGGACTTCCACTACAATGTAGTGGTGAACAGTAGCAGTGAAAGTAGGCATACTTGTCTCGTTCCTGATTTTAGAGCTTTCAGCTTTTCACCATTGAGTATGGTGTTCACTATGGGCCTTTCACAAATGCCCTTTATTTTGTTGAGGAATTTCCCTTCTATTCCTAATTTGCTGAGTACTTTTATCATAAAACGGTGTTGGATTTTTGTCAAATGCCTTTTCTGTGTCAACTGAATGATCATGTGGTTCTTTTCCTTCATTTTATTAATGTGGTATTACATTTATTGATTTTCTTGTATTGAATCACCCTTGCATTCCTGGGATAAATCCCAAATGATCATAGTGTACAATACTTTTAATATGCTCTTGAATTCAGTTTGTTAGCATTTTGGTGAGGATTTTTACAACTAGATTCATAAAAGGCAGTGGTCTCATAATTTAATCCTCAAAAACCACTTGCAATTGTCAGTATCATTTTATGAATGAGGAAAGTGAGGCTCAGGTAGGCCACCACAAGAGATCCCAGGATCATACAGCTAATGAGTTGTAAAGTTTAGACTTGAACCTAGGTTCGTTTGATTCTCTGAGACCACAGTTCTTGGCCTGTTGTCCACAGACCCCTAAAGTGTCCATGTGCAAACCTGAGGGAGGCTGTGAACCCCCTAAAATTAAATGCAAAATTACTTATCTGTGCATTTTTCTGGGAGCAGATACATACATACATATATATATATATATATATATATATATATATATATATATATATATGTATAAAATAGTATCATCAGTATCATCAGATTCGCAAAAGGACCCATGATCCAGAAAAGACTGAAAACTTCTGTGCTATATAGTGAACACTGGGCCTGGCACATAACAGGCCTTTAACGAACTCAACTGAGCTCTTCCCTCTCAGCCACTCTATGAACAAATCCCAAGGAACTCATACCCTATAAAGAAGCAGGAAAGCCACCATGGGCTGACAAGGACACTGGCCAATGGGGTTCCGGTTTGGCCACAAAGAGCCTCAAATCCCCTAGCAAACTCCTTCACATTCATCCTTTCCTCCCCAAAAATGTTTGGGCACTTACTTCATCCCAGACACTGCACTAAGAGCTCTCCATATGATCATTTCATTTAATCTTCATAGCAACCATGCAAGGTAAGCACTATTATTATTCTCATTTACAGATAATGACACTGAGGCTCAGAGAGGTAAGTGACCTGCTTTTCTTTATCTGGAGTCTGATGAGAAGTTCTGTTCTCACATATAAAAGGGCTGCCAGAAAGGGATGCCAATGAGTTCATCTCAGAAAAAGTAGCTTCAATAGCTGACCAGACCTGGCCTCTGGCTAGTTTTCAAATCAGAGTCACCAGCTGTCTGCAGGAGCGGCTTGCTCTACAATAGGTGACATGCTGGCAGGAAGACCATTTCCCAGAGCATTCTGTTTGGGGAAATGCGACTTCACTTCTGGCTCTTTTTACCCACTTGGTCAGAGCTGGACACAACGCACCCTTTGCCAAGCTGACCTGGCATCAGCATGCAAAGCAGATTACATCAGAGCCCCCAACATCTCTCCTCCGGGAGCTCTAAGGCTGACAGAGGTGGAGTGTAAGCTGGCTCCCAGTTAAATAGTTTTGTTAAGGAAACTATGAATCCCTTGCTAGACTGTGCACATCTGTTTTTTTGTTTTTTCTAAACACTAAGCCCAGTTGAAAGGATTTTTAAGTGAAAGAAAAAAGGAAGCAAAAGGCTTCAGAACGCTTTTCAAAACAAACGGTGTACAGTGTCTATCCCAGATGCATCTAGGCCTTTCTTAAAACCCACTGCTGTCAAGTCAATTTTGACTCAGAGTGACCCTATAGGACAGACTAAAACTGCCCCATAGGGTTTCCAAGGAGTGGCTGGTGGATTAGAATTGCCAACCTTTTGGTTAGCAGCCAAACACTTAACCATTGTGCCACCAGACCTTTCTTAGTTCCTATTGTATCTCATAAAATAACAATAAGGCTAACTCTAGCCTTGATCTTCAAACTACAAGCTAGTGCTTCTCTGAGGCTCCCACTGTACATGGCGTGGTAGCCCAAGACTAGAGAAGCCAGGAGAGGGTTGCGCAATAGTGATGCACCTCTAAGTGAAGGCCCAGCTGGAGGGAGGGCCCAAGGGGAACCTTGGTCCCATCACTCAGAGGTCCAGTTACACACACTGTGTAACCTCTAGGCCACTATCCTCATTTGAAACCAGAAAAATAAGAATAAAGATGAAAAACTGTCAGCAGCACAGTTTGGGGTTTTGGTTTATCTGAAAAAGTCTATCTATTGCAGGGTGCTATCTACTGAAGGTCATGTTTTGGCAGACCTGGCTGAGAGATCAGAAGCTTGCCCCCCTCAGTTGGTCCAAGTCCCCACAATCATCACTCCAGTAAGTGGGAATGCAGATCTTCATACCTAGAGCAAAGGTTCTGGTTGGACTGAGTCTGTTCTATAGTAGTATGGGGCCAGTGACCAGGCCATTGGGAATTCAAAGAAATTCAATTCAAGAAGTGTTTCCTTGAAGAAAACAAGATACAAGGGAAAGATCAGTCCAAACGACTAACGGACCACAACTACCACAGCCTCCACGAGACTGAGTCCAGTACAACTAGATGGTACCCAGCTACCACCATTGACTGCTCTGACAGGGATCAAAACAGAGGGTCCTGGCCAGAGCTAGAGAAAAATGTAGAACAAAATTCTAACTCACAAAAAAAGACCAGACTTACTGGCCTGACAGAGACTGGAAAAACCCCGAGAGTATGGCCCCGGACACCCTTTTAGCTCCATAATGAAGTCACTCCCGAAGTTCACCGTTCAGCCAAAGATTAGACAGCCCCATAAAACAAATGAGACTAATGGGGCACAACAGTCCAGTGACAAGGACTAGAAGGCAGGAGGGGACAGGAAGCTGGTAATAGGGAACCCAAGGTCAAGAAGGGACAGTGTTGACATGTCGTGGGGTTGTTAACCATTATTATAAAACAATATGTGTACTGTTTAATGACTATTTTAACAAACTATTTGTTCTGTAAACCTTCATCTAAAGTACAACTAAAAATAAATAAATAAATAAAAGAAGTGTTTCCTGAGCACCGCATTCATTCATTCCAAATATATTTACTGAGGGTCTACTATATGCTTGACACTGGGCAAGGTAGTAATGACTAAGATAGACATGGTTCCTGCCCTCATGGAGCTCACAGACTGGCAAGGAAGATGGATGTTAAAGAAGTACACAAAATGAGGACAAATGAGTAAAGAACCACAATGGAGTACAGGGTGTAATGAGAACAGGTATGATGGGGAGACCTCATACAGGCTGGGAATTTAGGTAAGGTTTCTCTGAGGAAGTGACATTTAGGCTTAGATCTGATTGGTAGCTGAACAGAAAGGAAGAGTGTTCCAGCTGAAAAAAGAGCACATATGGGGACCTGGTAAGATGGAATGCATCAGGAAAGAGAAGGAAAGACAGGATGGCTGAAGCCCACAGTAGGAGGAGGAGAGACAAAAGGTGAGGCTGAGGGGTGGGCAGAAGTCAGATTCATTTTGCAGGACCTTGCAGGGCACATTAAGGCATTCAAACTTTAGCTGAAGTGTAACTGGAAGGCACTGAAGTGATTTAAACATAGAAAAGGCTTTTTCAGCTATGTGGAAAATAAACCGTGACAGTGCAAGGGTGGATAAGGGCACAAGCGTTCAGGGAGAGGGATTTGGACCTAAAGCAAGATGCCTGGGATGGAACGCTGGTAGAGCTCCCAGCCTATAAGGGACAACAGACTGTTACCTGGACAGGCACATGCAAGGGGTGCTGCTTACCTGGTTAAACCTCCGGGTAAAGGCCACAACGTTGGGGGCAAGACTATGTTTCTCCTTCTTACTCCATCCACAGCTGGCTAGTTCCTAGGAGGCACAGAATCAATTTCAACTGTGATTCTAATGGATACAAAACACACCAGGTACATCTAATCTGAATGTGCACATACAGGCAAGGAAGGACTGAAGGCCTGGCTATTCACGCCTTCACTCTGTAGGTGGAGGTGCATCCTGGAGACCCAAGGGGAAAACAAGAAGTTGAATGCTTTTCTCCATAACTCTAGCCACATTTCCCAGACCTCCTGCACCAAAATATTAACCCTGCTAACGCCATTCTGACAGCTTCTCTGGGACCAGAAGTCCTTTCTTACAATGCAAATTGTCTGGAGAGGGCAAAATCTTTTGACGAGTAGGATTCACCGCTCCCCGCCAAAGACGCAATTCCCAGGGCCCCAGGCTAACTTAAAATTAAAATTTGGCTGAAGAATCTCAAATTTCACTGGTGACATGACATCCTCCATTCCTAGAGTCAGGCAAAGTCCTGGTCCAAGGTGCTTGTGGGAATCCTGGCTGAGGGCAATGGGCAGCTCTGGTTACAAAATGAATGACCTGGACTTGGGAACACACAGGAACTAACCAAAAACGAAGAAACACAGCTTCTCTTCCTGGCTTCTTTACATCTGTAAACGGCATCACCACCCTTCTAGTCACCCACAAGAGAAAACTCAACCATCCTTGACCCCGCCGAGTCCCTGACACTCTCACAAGTTAGATCCCAAGTAACAGTAATAACAGATATTAACTAATCTTACCATTTATCAAGAATGCCTATGTGCTAGGCAATGGATTAGGTACTTCACATATGTTATCTCATAATTCTCACCACAACCATTTTAACAAAGTTAAAAAAGAAAGCAGCCCCCACAATCACATATTAAAAAGAACTAACGGAAAGAATCTTTAATATTTTACTCTTCTGAACGAACATTTTGAATTCCTTACAGATATTAAATTTTATACCTCCCTCATTCTTTTGAATGAATATTGTGACTCCACTTATTTTCAAATGTATATATGAATCTCTTTCAGATGTAAGAGTTTACTCTGTTGATGTGATCCCTCTTGTTTGGAAAATGTATATTTGAGTCTCTTTTCAAATGTATATTTGACCTACCTCACTTACACTTGCTGTTGTTGTTAGCTACCCATCCGACCTTCATGGCAACCCCATGCATAACAGAACAAAGGCTGCCTGGTCCTGCACCATCCCCACGATTGGTTGTGGATCTGACCGTTGTGATCCATAGGGTTTTTGTTGGCTGGCTTTTGGAAGTAGATCACCAGGTATTTCTTCCTAGTCCATCTTAGTCTGGAGACTCTGCTGAAATCTGTTCAGCATCACAGTAACACACAAGTCTCTGTTGACAAATAGGTGGTGACTGTGCAGGAGGTATACTGGCCGGGAATTGAAACCCGGTCTCCCACATAGAAATCGAGAATTTTACCACTGAATCACCAACGCCTCACCAGTTACACTTACTCCCCCTTAAAATATTTACTTGAATCACTTTACAAATGTATATTTTGGGCCTTTTGAAGTTTATTTGTGAGGACAAGGGCCTCTTTCCCCTATGGGTCCTAAAGCCAGTCCTGGAAAGGTGTGAATTGTAATCAAATATAAAAGTGAACTGATGTTCAAGGACTGAGTGTGGTTGATGCCCAATTCCTGGCTGGTAGTTGTCCCTTTGTTTTATCCTGAAATTTTTTGTAAACAGCAGAAGTTGTGTGTGTGTGTGTGTGTGTGTGTGTGTGTGTGTGTGTGTGTGTGTGTGTGTGTGTGTGTAAATTCAGACTCTGTGGTCTTATTTCTACACTGTAAGTAACTTAGGAAAGCATTTTGAAAGGGAGCAGTGTGGACCTTACAGTCAAGACAGACCCAGGTCACATCCTTACTCTCCACACACCAGGTGCACGATTCTAAGCACATTACTTAGCTTCCTGGAACCTCAGTTTTCTCATCTTAAAGTGGGTGTGGGTATGATATTATATTTATCTGTGAAGTTTAAACAATTAAATGAGATCTTTAAAAATAATGATTAAAAGAGATTTTTAAAAAATGTAAGGTGCCTAGCACATGACAAGTGCTTAATAAAGGTTATTTCCCTTCCTCTTCCCAGGGTCACACTGCTATTAAGTGACAAAGGCAATATTCAGACTCAGCTCTAACTCCAAACACCATCTTCTTTCTCCCATACCACACTTTCACTGCTGTCTTGGAATTACCAACAAAATCTAGTATTATTTCTCTTTTATTTTGCTGATGTCATATGGGCAGGAACCAAATCAGGTACTTCACACATCTGCCCTGAATTTATTTGATCTGAACACTTCTAAGACCCTAATTCAAAAACTACACGTAGAGTTGTTGAGTTTTGACAATTCCCTAAGGAACCTTTTGCAATGAAGGATACCTAACATTTAAAATTAAAATCTCAGAAGAGTACAACATTGTTTGAGAAGTACTTTGATAAAACGGAAGGAACAAAGGACTTGGATCCAAAAGAGCCCACTCTAAATCCCAGCCCTGTCACCTACTTCCTTGGTGACCCCAGGCAAGTTACAGCATCAGGTTCATCCCTGATAAAAACAGGGATGTGGAAACTAACCCTGCTGAATTGTGGCAGAGACTAAAGGAGGTAACACCAGACAAAGGAGGTAACATGCTGGGCACAGGGTCTGGCTCACAGCAGATACTCAAGAAACATTTGTTGAATGAATGAATCAGTGTTGAAATTTCCCAAATTCACTGCGGAAAGATTTATCAAGATGTCAAAAGAAGTAAGACCATTCTATTTGTACTAAAACAAGTACTGGGCCCAACCTCTTTGGCACTGCTCCTCTTCTGTGTTTGGCCTTATACGATTGCGAGAGATTCCATCTGTGCAAAGTGGGTTTGGAAAATGTGAAGTAACAGAACAAAGCTCTTCCAGTCCCTCATGCCTATAAAAAATACATGCTATGAAACTGATTTGAGTGTAATTAAGTTAAAATTGGCCAGAGGAGAGAGGGCAGGTTCTAGAAGGGACACAAGGAGTTGGGCTGAGTCTGGTAAGACCCTGGTAGCTCTGTATCCCTGGTGAGGCACTAAGCTGACTGCGGGTTGCCACATGCCTCTTCCCAAGGGCACCAGGGCCCTGATCTCACTCAGGCCTTCCTTTGCTCTGAGCTTTTTGCTGAGGTCAACCGGACGTAAAAGGAGAATAGGAGTCTGTACAGTCCTCTGCCAGCTTCTTCTGGGACTTCTCTGTCATGTAGTTCATCAGGGAGAAAACAGAAGCTATGAGAGGAAACTTCCTGCCACTAAACTTACAAATTTACCTGCATCCTCCCCCTTCCTCTGGCTTTAATGGAAGCAGGCCCCTTTCCTTTCCAGGACCCACTCTCCTCCTGGGCTCTGGATCCCACCCCCTCCACCTTCTTAGAGGCCTTGTGCTCTGAAGCCCTCTTTCATTCCTGTATCTTCAACCCTTTCCTCTCCAATTTCTCCTTCCGACTAGCATTTTAATATGCATAACCTTCCCCGTAATAACAATTTTTAAAAAGACACCTTTCCTAGACCTCACGTTCTTCCAGCTCCTGATCACTCTTTTGCTTCCTCTTCACAGGCGAATTTCCTGAAAACATTGTCCATGCACTGTTTCAACTTACTTTCCTCTCCACCCTGCCATATATACTGCCATGACTTCAACCAGAAGGCTATATCCAGCCCAGGTTTCTCTTCTGAGCTCCAAACCAGGACATTCAACTGCCTCCTGGCCACACTTTCCTTGGCATCCCACAGACACCCAAAAATCAGCAGGCCCAGAACCGAAAGGGTATCTGACCAGCTGCCTTATATAAAAAACTCCTAACACTGTGAGACTCATTTCAACATTCATTATGGTAGGCAAAGGAGAATGTTTATTACAAAGAACTGTCTATGGAGAAAAAAATCCCTAACTGCTGCAAAAACAACTTTGTCTTAATACCTTATCTGCAAACACTCCTAGGTGACAGCAAGAGTCAACACTGGTTTCAGCTCACCCTGCAAAACTTCTCTGGGCCACACTGCCAGGAGGCTCTCCCCCTGCCCCCTCACTGCCTCCGCCAACTCCCAACTTTGAGCTTAGAGGTCCAAGAGTCAGATTCTCTGAGGTGGCCTGGAAAAGGTCTGGTCTTGAGCATGTCTGGGGTCACTGAGGTAAGGCCCTGGAAGAGAAGACCTGGGAAGTGGTGACAAGTACTCCCTAAAGACCCCCACAGGATCTAGGCCACCAGGCCATAAGACACTGGCGTCAGCACATGGCCTTTCCACATGTGTGCTTAATCCTGACTGTAGTCTTATCTAAATCACGTTCCTAAAACCTGTCCACATACATCAACTCAAGGAATGTCATGAAATCAGACCTCAAAGACTACCACAAGGCTGGTAGCAGCCAATGGCACATCAATATTTGCTCAGCAGCAACCTTTTTTTTCCTTTCTCCTCCCTCCGTATTTCTCCTCATTCCTCCCATCCTGCCCCCTGGTAAAAGAATAAAAAAGGAAATAACTGCCAGATTTTCTCATGAACAATACTCAGAAGAACTGGTGGGAAAATTACACACTTAGCTAAGGGAGTTCTAGAAACATCCCAGGAAGTGAGTGACCTACTGAGGCAGCAGGGGAGAGAGGGCCAGTTTCTGGGATGGAGGTGGGGTCTGACTGAGGAGTGAGGCTTTCAGGGTCTAGACTCTGAGGACAGAGTTAAGACTAGGCTCAGGGACAGGAAACAATGAAGAGTGTCTGGTACGTCCTTCAGAAATGACAGAACTCCCTGACAAGTGTTCCATCTGGGTAGGTTGGGGGCTTGGCACAGACCTGGTGGAGGTGCTGGCTATGGTCTCAGGAGCGAGCTCTGAGGCAAAAGGCTTGTAATACAACAGGCCACAGAACGAAGTGGTTAAGTAGTCAGATGGACCAGGGTTGACATTCTGGCTCCACAAGCTACAAGTTATATGACCCTGGGCAAGTCACTTTAACTCTCAGTGCCTGAGTTTTCTCGTCTG